ATGCCCAGGATCTCCGACTGAGCACACAAGGCCACCACCTTCACAAGCAGGATGGAGGTGGGGACAACAGGCCTGACTCCTCCCAAGTGGGGGCACTGGAGCAAGTTGGGGCAGAGGGTCAGTTCAGGAGGGAGCATTCCCTGCAGACAGACCACCACATGGTCTAAGGAGCAGCCCAAGCTGAAGTCCCCAGTGTGCCCTGGGGACAGGGCAGGACACCCACCCGCTGTAGGAACTCTGTCCTCTCCTTCTTCTTGTTACGACATCGTGCTGCTGCTACTTTGTTTTTCTCCCGACGTCTTTTCCTTCTCTCCTCTTCCTCATCCAGCTGCAACAAGACAAAGGCCCAGAGCTGTCAGACATGGGACTGAAGGACAGGGCTGTGAATGTGCACCCTGGCACCCCTGCTAGCCCAGGGCAAGGGGACGGGAGCAGCCACCTGCACGCAGCACTGCTGGTGCCCCCCACTCCTACCAGGGGTCAGGGGGGCAGGCACATTTCACTGGTGACAGGGACCAATGCTCAGCAGGAGCCAGGTGTGCTGCTGCCACAGCCCTAACTCCACCCTGTACGACACGAGAAGGGAGGCCAGAGCAGTACTTAGAGCCACAGCACAGGACTGGCCACAGCAGCCCTCAAGAGGTAGGTGGTAGAGGACAAGAAAAGGTAGCAAGGGGGAAAATAAGGGGGAAAATAAGCACACAGGATCCCCCAGCAAGACAGGCACAATGTGTCGGACACAGACAGGCACAGCTTACAGTGCACGCATGGTCATTCAGAGCATCAAGAGGGCAAGGGAGGCAGTGACACCGGAAAGCCCCCTAGCTGGTTCAGGCTGTTCCCTTCTTCCAGTAAATTGGGTTATCTGCCTGTGTCCCTCACTGGCCAGGTGATGGCCACTGCAGTAAAGTGGGGACAGGTCTCACATCCCTTGCAGCAGGGCAGGATGTGGTAGTGTCTCAGTTTCCATAACTCAGTTGCTCTATGCTATCTTATTCAAGCCACACACATCAGGCCATATAGATTCGGAAAACCATAATCAATATAAAATAGTGATCTTACTAGAAAGTCTGTGTAAGAGGCCTATGGCACACTTACCTCTGAGAGCCTAAACTAGCTCCTTCTAAGGAGATCTGAGTGCTAGAAGCACTTGTGAATTCAACACTCTAATTAAACTTTGCAGTGAGGCTGCGGGTAGGGAGGTTCCAAGTGCCCTGAGGCCCTACAAGCAATATCCATCCACATCGGCCTGTGACTCCAAAAGCCACCGTGTGACACAAAGGGGCCTGGTCCCTTCTCCTTCATACACCCTCGTGTACGAGGATAACAACATTTGCTTCATGACCTCTTCCACAGTCTATCTGCATGACAGCCACTGACCATCAGGTAGTTGTGTCCTTCCTGTCATACCCGTCTGAGGTGATGTGGCCGAGGGTCACATCTCCTAGATGAGCAAGCCCCTTACAGCACACACCATCTGAACTGCCTCACACAACCTGTTCATCTAGTACATGGGCTGCTTAAGGTCCTCGAAAGGGAAGTCAGATTTCCAATGTCATGGACAGAAAGATGGGGGTCATCATGCTATCCTGGACGCATGGATTTGCAAAGAGATGCCAGGGTAGTTAAGGCAGTCACAGTTCTCCTCTGCACACTTACAGGCCACTCCTCTACCCCTGAAATAATCCTTGAATTAAAGGCCAAGAAGCTATTAGGAAAGGATGCGGGGAGAGGGAACACATACTCAAAGATTTCCTGCAAAGCAGATCCCTGGTGGTATCAGGAGCTGGGAGCAAGACAACCGAAAGCACAAGGCTTGTTGTCTCTCTGAGAACTGACACATTTTCACGCCCTGTTGCTCCATTTTATGTAAATGGAAAAATGACCCTCCCTTGTCCCTATCGCAGAAAACATTGAGAGCTTCCCCTCTGCCCCACAGAAGGTCTGTCTCTGCCTTTTATGTCCACAGCTCCTGTGACCTCAGAGGCTCACTAGAGGCTCATTTTCTGCCTCTATTTCTGTTCAAAAAGGTGATGCGGCCCTAGTGTTGGAGGCCGGGACTTGTCTCAGGTTAGAGGCATAAGGGATGGCATGTGTATGGCCCACAGCACGTTTCAGTAGCTGAGCTCCAGCGCAGCTTGGGGAGGAGAAGGCTTTGGGTTGTCTCCCAAATTGCTTCAGGCAGCAGCTGTCAGGCAGATGAGCTCTATGAGCCTGAGCGCCAGGACTGCCCAGGCTGCCCCGAGCGCCCTGCACTGGTTTCCCCAGAGAGGAGCCCGGCAGCAGCCACTCGCAGCTGCCCCAAGAGGGCAGTCCGCGCCACAGGCCTGCCTGGCCCTGCTGAGGCGCCGGCCCAGCCTCACGCACTTGCCTCACACCTGCGTGGCCGCCTGCCCTGCAAGGCTCCTACTGCCAGGGCCATGCGGAAGCTGCTCCCCTGGCAGCGACCCACGGCCCTCCCAGGCCTGGCCCAGGAGGAGCGGGGCAGGCTGCTCCTCGGCACCCCAAGGAAGAGGGCACACTGCAGCTCTACCCGTGTGTCACCTCTCGGCTGCTCTCCGGGTGCCAGGGGCAGCTCCACGCGCTGCCCTCAGCCCCTCTGCTGCACAGGCCACACAGGCAAGGAGCAGCCTGCAGGGAGGGCAGCCATTCAGAGGCTGCCAGCAGATTTCCCCTTTTCTTCCCTCCACATGGTGCCTGAATCACAGCCCCAGAGGACACTCAGCACTTTCAGTACCTGCTGTGGGGCGGAGACACCCTGTCCTGGTTGCACAGGGCTCCAGGAGACCACAACCCCATGGCCAGAGGAGCTGCAGGGCCAGCCTCAGACATGCCCAAGCTCTCCAGGACAGGCTGCATCTTGGGAAGACGATGCAGAGCTCCCTATTTGTTCCCCAATGCATGAAGCTATGTGGTTCCCACACTACCTGTCACAGGACATCCAAAACATTCAGCCATGCAGCTACATGGCTGCACAGCTCTGTTTCACTGCTGATATCATGTCTTCTGCTGCACTCCCATCTACCACCCAGGGCCAACACCACTCCCCAGCCCCCAGTGCCAGACCAGCCAGCTAACATATCCCTGGCCAGCTGCAAGGTTTCCCTGGAATTTGCAATTCAAGCTGCTTCTAAAGCAGCATGCCAAAAGGTCATGACAGCAATTAGCTTCAGCTGACAGCTCAGCTGCTCTGCTGATAGAGGAAGCAGAGCCTTTAGCTCCAAGACCCTTCTGACAACCTCCCCCAACTTCCTAGGCTCAGCTCCTGTTGAGAGCACTGCCAAGCTCTCCCCCAGGTGAGCTCCACAAAGCTCTGTGCTGCATAAGGGGCTAATATAACTCCAGTGAAAGGCCAAGAGCTGGACTCTATCCTACTGGTTCTCCCAGCAGGAAGCTACCACAAGGGGCAGGGGAAAGGGAACAGGCAGCCTCCCTGAAGGCAGTCTGGGTGCTGCTGAGCTTTTACCACAAACCTTAAGGCACCTGCTTAGGCCCTGTGGACTATTCCTCTGTAATGCTGTTTTGCTCCTTCGGCCAATCACCTCATGGGTCACTTCTTATCATGCAAGCATCTCCAGACATCTCCCTCACTGTTGTCTCCAGACAATGCACAACATCCTCTCTTCGTGTGGGACTGCCCAAAATACTCACACAAGCACAAACAGAGTTATCAAAAGGTTTGCCTACTGCACTGCCGGCAGAATCCACTCACTGATTTGGGGCCTCCAGACTGATGGATTTCCAGCTCCATTTGAAGGAGTAGGAGATGCAAACTCTCAACACCTCAGTACAGTGAGGTCTGAAGAGCCATCAGAGATATGAGACAACCACAAAAGAAAAGTTTGTGCAAATGTCTCTGTTGTTTGGTGGGCTGTGTCTCAGCCTGTAGGTTCACATGCAGCTGGTTACCAAAGGCTGCACAGAACCAGCCAGGGCTGGGACATGAAGGCCTCCATCCTGCATCCCAGTCCATGCCACAGGGACAGAAGTTCAGCCATAAGATGCAGAGCAGAGATGGAAGGAGGAGGACAATGCTGGCAGTCCAGCTGCCAGGATACATGCACATCACCAAAGAGGCGGCATAAACAGACACAGCCAGGAGAGAGACATGGGGCAGGGCATGTGTGACAGGCTGCCTGCGGGCAACAGCTCCCTCTCCTCTGCTCCCTGTCTGCAGGGCTCAGCAGCACCAGGACTCACCTCACTTTTCACAGGCTGGGGTCTCTTCCCTAGCTTCACCTCCAGGAAGTGGAGTGGCGAGATCATGGCGCCAATGTTGCGGATGTCAGCGAACTTCAGCTCCTCAGCCGTCAGCGCCGTGCCTGGCAGCCCCGTCAAGGGGCCGAGCCCGGGCAGCGCGCCAGCCGTCAGCGACGGGTCGGGGATCTGCCCTGGCATCATAGCAGGAAAAACAGCTCCGCAGGCTAGAGGCAAACAGAGACACAGCCCATTTTAACCCAGCCGCAGGTCCCACAACACAGTACAAGCCAACCATATTCCATGATCCACCATCTAACCAGGTGTGAACCAGGGAAAGTGGATGCTCTCTCCCATGCCTACATGGCACATCCGGTACTCAAACAAGTCTCACTAGGGCTACCAAGAAAGTGAGGAACACCCAGTACCCAGAAGGAGCCAAGCCCACTCCCCCATAGTGCAGGACCCAATGGTTAACTGGGGAATTTTACCTCAGGCAGCCTGTAGGTGACCACCTGGGAGACCACTGTGCCCTGCAAGGAGAATAAGGTAGTGACCTGGGTTGTTGATTAGTTACTAACAACATATCCCGCTGGGAGTCCAGGGGGGGCAGAGAAACCATTATCCACTGCAGACTCCTCTCCTAGCCATCTCATGTGCAGCAACAACCCGCAGCAGGGACACAGTGAACACAGGATTAGAGCTGCCCATGCTCCAACAGGCAACGCCAGTGGCGCAGGGCACACAGCTCAGCACTCTGCAGGGATTCTGCGAGTCCTGCCTAGGAACCGCCACGGAAGGCAGCCAGAGGCAGGTGCTCTGCGACTGGCACAGGGACCTCTTCAGAGGGGACAGTGAGAGCAACGACTGGGTGATAGAGACCAAAATATTGACATTCCAGAAAAGAGGGGCTACTGGCCTGCAGATCAAGAAAGGAATATACCCAAGGAACAAAGCACTGTGGAGAAAGGAGGGTGGCAGGGGAAGAGAAGTTGACTACAGAGACTTCCAGGATAAACAGTGGTGCAATCCTGTAGACTACTGATTTTGACCCCTTCCTCTGAAGGGGCCTTCTGGATCAATGTTTTATCTTAAACAAGTTTTGATTAATGTGTAGGTACTAGGGCAGGAAGGCAGTGATATCAAGGGGACCATAATGTTTCAGGCTGGGTATCTTCTTGGAAGGCTCAGCCTGTTGGTGAGGGCTGGGACAAGGCACTACCAACCAAGGGCACTACCAACAAAAAGTGCTGTGAGAAGAGCCTGCTGCAGAGCAAACACAAGCCCAGCATGAGCATGGGGAAAGGAAGGCTGGCAGGAACAGGAACAGAGCAAGGGGCAAAAGGCTTCTGCCTGGGAAAGAAAATATGGTTTGAATAAGACTAAGTCAGGGACAAGCTTTGACGAGTCACTTTTGGGCATCCAAAAGGGATTTATCAGGAAATGTGACAAGTGGCCACTATATAAAGAAACAGAAAGTATTTAAATAAGCCTAAAATAAGGCTGTAGAACAGGAGCTGCTGTGCCAGCCAAAAGGCAAAGGGAGCTACTGGCTATAGCACAAGCACATCTCCATGTGCATAACGGCCCTGAGATGCTCACAAGGGAGCCAGTTACAAGGCGCAGAGTTGACTTCTGTCCGTGCAGTAACCATGTTTCCCCTCAGCACAACTGCACGTCCCGGCTCCTTGCAGAAGCAGCAGCAGCGCCCACGGGGCCCCCAGGCTTCCACTCCGTGATACCCCCAAGGCAGAGAGGCACCGAGGGCCTGGGGACATCCCACATACAAGACTGGGAAGAAAATCAGGTAGCCAGAACCCTCACTGAGCAGCTCCCCCAGCCGTGAGCAGGCCTGGGATTCAGCAACAGGCAAAGGCAGGGAAGAGGAGTCCGAGCAGGCCCGTCAGCCGCAGTCTGCACAAGCCTCTGGGAGGTGCCACAGCACTGACTGCAGAGTGAGGAGGCACCTTAAGGGAGGGACGGTCCCTGCTTGCTCCGCAGCGGGCCATGGGCAGGTGGGTCTGTGCCCTAGGGCTGTGCCCAAGGCACAGTCACACTGCAGAGCCAGGTCCCACCTGCCCTGGGGTAGCAGACCTGCACCCTGGCAGGCTGCAAACAGGTAAAACTGAGTGCAAGAGGGCTGAAGATCAGCCAAAACGAGCACATTTCCTGGCACAGGGATGTGCCCAGGAGATATGGTATATTTGTTAGATGCGCAGAAAATGGGGGGAAGAGCCAATCATACAGGCTAAGTGAGACTAGGGAGCTGATGAAGACTCGAGAGGTCACAGCAGGGCAGCACAGGAGCCGCACAGACACTGAGGACACGGAGCTCACATCGGAGTGCCGAGGAGCTCTGGAGAGCTCTCCTGTGCTGCAACCTGCTGCCCGAGGGGCCCCTCGAGGCAGAGCCTGCTCCCCAGACAGCGCAGGAGCCACTGGAAAAGAGCAGGCAGCGAGCAGGAAGGGAGCGCTCTGCGTCGGTCACCGCTCCGGGAGAAGCGCAGAGGGGAGGGCAGCGTCAGACGGGGAGGGCGCTGGGCTGGGGGAGCTGATCCACACAAGGGCTGCACAGCCCGGAAAGGAGAAGGCAGGAGAGGAAGGAGATGGGAGTGACCACTAAGGAGCGGTGATACTACCTGATGGAGCAGACTCCTGCCTCTTCAACAATCACAGACAGACAAAACTTGGTAATAATGTTTGATTTCAGAAGAGACTAAATATCAACTGGACAAGACTCCAAAAACCTAAAACAATCTAAAGTATTTGTTCTTCCATAACTGTCCTAAACCAGAGAGCTGTAATTCCGCATTTGGAACTGGCAACGTGGTATATGGACGGGAGAACCCGCACCAGCAGAGCCCTGAAGCAGCACGCTGCTTCCCTTTCCTCCCTTTTTGGCTTACAGATGGCTAAGCTGCTTCCCTCTTCCAGAAAGCAGGCACTATCCTACCCTTGGCAGCACGCTGGATAGGAAAATACAACCGTGTTCAGGGACTGTGCTAACAGCCTCACCATCTTCCTCAAACCACCC